AAGACTTCGCAAGAAAACTAAATAAATTTATTCATTTCTTTTTGTCGCTGAATTCACATACTACTAATATCAAAGGGAACATTTTTTTCATTAGTATTAATAATAAATCTTCCAGTATCCTAGTGAATATAATGAATAAATTAAAAATAAACAAAATTCTAATGCTTCATCAGTTTCTAGTTAATCTGCTTGGTGTATGATATAAATGGTTGGACTAGTACTATTTGGCAATTAAATCTATCTTTAAATTAACAAACAAGAAATGTCAAAAATGGAACAGTTTGTTGTAAATATCGTTGAATCAGGATTGTGTATTATTTCCAATTGACTGAAATAGGAAATATAAGCGTAAGGTTTTAGAACCCGTTGTCGAAAGATATTATGCTTATAGGGAGAAACGAAGGTCATATGTTCAATACAATATTCATAGCAAAGCATTGTCGATAAGTTCCAACTAAGAAGAAAACACCTGTCTCGTGCTCTAAGATATCCAATGATTCGTAAACTGATAATAATTTGCAAAGAAAACTTATTCATACTGGAAGCGTTCATTCCTAGGCATTTACCTACTGCCATTTAAAATCCCAATGGTTTCAATCAATTAAATCATGCATTAAACTGATTTTTTAAAGCACGCTACCAATTAGCATACTGATTTGCAAACAAATAAATGAACTAAAAATGGTCGAATTTAAGAAACTTAAAACGATTCTGAGACAAACCAATCAACCTAAAGAATTCCTGTTCAGAAAAATGATAGAATAAAATTGTTTTCTTTTCGTTCTGTTCAGCCATAATATATTAATCTATATAATTACAAGTAATGCGATAAATGTTATATAGTTGTTTTTTTACAAGTATAATCATAATCACTATTACTAGTGTCATTGCTGTTTAAAGAAAGCATTTTGTGGAACCATAAAAAACGTGGATACAATGAACAACAGATGATGTAAAGATAAAAAAGTAGTGAGAAGACAATGTAATATTTAGACTGCTTCTGAAGATTACACACATTGTCTAAATAATAGGTAAATAAAGCATTTCATTTCAATAAAAAACAGTTATAAGTGTAGGGTTGCGGAGCTTGCTGAATTACATTTATATTATGAACTGATATAAGTTAGACCACTATTGAAAACCTGGAAGCACCGGAGAGTTGTTTCGTGCTAATCTGGAGCTTCCAGGATTAAATATATTTAAGATTTCAATAAAACTCAACAATTTCCACGACTCCATACGGAAAATTATCATGTACACACTAATGACAGGCTCCGAGAGGAGATTTCCAGAGTTCTAGTGAGAAGCCGTGACCAGTGTAGCTCATCAATATCGGGGGTGATGCAGATGCCCACTAAAGACAATGGAAAATGGTCGCACAATATCGTGGATTGGTTGAGGTTAGACAGTACCATCGTTGGATACCAGCTTAGTGGTCTTGAGAATAAGTGTTAGCGCGCGAGATTAAAGGTCCTGAATTCAGTCATTTTCGATGGTGGTGTAACACTGATCGCCTCATAGTTTCAGTGAAAAACAATTATCTTTCTCTTGTACAGTATTGCCTATAATTATGATCACTTCAATAAAATGAATGAAAAATTGGTGTGATTCTTCACAAAACATATATGACCATTAGAAGAATAATGGGTTGAAAAAAATTTTTTAGAAACATTCACTTCCAATATAATTTGTAGGTTTAGTCATTGCAAATAGTTAATTTTATGCAACAAATGGCTTTTATCTCTAGTCAATAATGGACGTGTTATTTTTTATTTTAAACATATTACCTTCACTTCATATTTATTTTAACCGTACACTGTAGGTTTAAATTACTCATCAACGTTTTAAAAACCATTTACTCGGTGTCCTATCATGGTTTAAACTTTTGAACTAGTACTTATATGTCCCAATTTCTACGCTGCTTATGACTGACTGAACTAATGGATTTTCAAAATTTTCGGAATCGGAATGCCCAATATCTATGTTATTTCGTTTAAATAGTTATGCGAATTATTGCTGATTTTCACACAATTTTTTATATTCATTATCAGTGTCTGAATTTCCTTTCCAGCCAGTGATTTAGAAGTATAGAAATATGTTTCATATCAATGTCAAATAGCCTAGTGTTGAATCATTTCTCTTGCAGCAAGTCAGGATAATATAAACGCCCGAGCCACTTTATGTTAATTCCCAAAAACAGTTTTGCACCTTCTTACTATCTTAAATAAGCTTACAGAACAAGTCAGAAATATATCCGGTTATAAGTTTCTCAGTACACATGGTCACTTCATTTCAACTTCGCTATATGTCGCTCATTCATTATGTAATGTAACAGTTTACTGTGATTCAAACATATTGTGTTCTGCACTACTTATGAAAACAGACGAAAGTAGTACGTAGTAAGGATTGAAAATAGAATGCTGACCAGCAGAAGTTAAAAAGAGGCAAAACGAAGAGCAATCGGAAGAACAACAGGATAAGAAGAATGATGAAGTATATAAAAGATAACTGAGGGCAGATATGCAAATGATGTATTTAATGTATATAATTTACGAAACTACTGTTTGATTATGCTTAAAACAATAAATCGGTTTTGCCCACTTAGTATTCATTCGTTACAATATGTTCAACGTAACGCTATTGAAATCCTCATACTTCACTCATTTCAAGGTGCATAGAAAAGACAATTCTCCCAACTAATTAACAGTTAATTATCCAGACGCAAATGAATTGTCAAGAAATTGATAAAACTGTTGGAAATGATTGTATTGCATACAATGACGATCATATTCATTACGTGGGAGTAAGGTATATTTTAACTAACTGAATTAAATAAAGTTCGCTTTCAAAACTCTTCCAATTAATATCACCAACACAGCTTTCACACAAGGCATGAAGTCTATGCTCCCATTTTGACAACTTTTTGTTGTACTGTAACAGAAAAATCCACCTAAACTAGGTTAGATTGTAATATTAAGTGTCATAGTGTATATTTGCAAAACAGAAATACCGTATTTAATAATCAACTTGAAATATTCAATTTTCACTCATTACCAATACAAAACACATACGTTGGGAAAGCTAAATTTATAACTAGGGTTTACTTAAACAGTAAAACCTTGTCCAAACCTTCAATTATTATTTTATTCGTAATTATAAATGCATGGCATTCAAAGTTTCCATTTGATTAAAACAAATAGGTTGTTATTACTTTCAAATATATATATATATAATTTTTGTTTGTTCTGTAAATGAAAAAAATATAACAGACTTAAAATGTATGTCATACTGATGTTATTCACAGTTTGTTATTTGTTTAGAACATTATTCCAATGGACTATTGATCCTACTTTGTTTGAAAGAGGTGGACTATTAAAAAAACAAAAGGTTAGGAATTTCAGTGGATATGACTGCTATACGGAATGCATAAAAGCATCGATGGAATTTTACCTGATAGATAGGCAAAGCTGACCAAACATCCCATTGACAGAGAATAAATATATATGTATTGGAAAATAAGATTATGATGTCTTTCTTGAAATTATTTCTCCCTCCATATTTTGCCTACTAATGAGTAGACAATATTAATCGCCCAAAAATCAACGACTCTGGATAGGCGGATTGTTATGTTACAGATTAATTGGTATTCATTATTGAAAAATGAAACCCCAGATAACGGAGGAGGGTTGGGCACGAGGTTAGCAACCTCACCTCGTGGAAAAAACCTTGCCGAAATAACGCTAATTAGAAAAAATCATTTAAACCGATTCGGGTTAATTGGAAGACGAAAACGTCAACTATTTCCCATATCCCAGGCATTTACGTTGATTTTAACACTCAATCCTTTTAAAATTCAGCATATGATGGTTAACTCAAAAATACTTTCCGATGTACCGATGTACCTAGTATCATTGAAGTAATTAGAACGTCACATTTCTACTTGAAGATTATACTAATGATGTCCAAAAAAGCAGCAACTAAACTTCGCAATTAAGCTTTGCCATTAAGAGAACGAAAAGCTACAGAAATTATTCACATGAACTAGAAACGTTTCCTACCAATTTGATAAACACTACTGATTATTTTATTTGTGACAGATTTATGGAATGTTTAATGACTAATCAAATATAAAAACGGAGAATACTCATAAAATACTTTATTTTCATACAGTGAAAAAATTTTTCCTACAAATCGTTTTGTCATACCAACTAGATTCCCACTAATATTAACAAAACAAAATCCATTTCTCAACAAGATCTTAAACAGTATATAATTATTCGCATCACATTCATTGTTACATGAATAGATTTAGATCAGGAAGGAGTAAAGTTGGCTAAGTTTGTACAAGAATAACTGTAAGAACGAATAAATTCCAATATTCTAGAAATAATCGACGACTAATACTTACAAATCGCCACTACAAACTATCGGGTTGAAACAGGTCATAAAATTGATTCAGTCTTGTAGTGTTGTATAAAAATGGTAAGAGGTCAATATCTACACTTCTTTAAGCCTTACTCATTCGAAGATTCAAACCATACTGCTGTATTTGAAAATATGATGTATTTACATGATCCTACTCTGGTAGTCCTGAGTTTAATTCAACAGCCGAATTGATGTAATTTATGCTTTTTGACCAGAAAAGTAGCTTCCACGTTCGCACTAAGATTGTAACTAGTTGAACCCAATCACCATCGGAGAATTAACATTGATAAATCTGTGACCATATGTGTTGAGGATTCCATGTATTACCATGAAAACAACGAGAAGATACAAAAGATAGTCTGAACACTACCACCATTCCCCAATCATACATATACTAGTTTTGTAATACAAAAGACCACAAGTAAACGTCTGAGCAATGATAATTACTTTAGTAATCATTACTGTTATCATTTATATTTATGTCTGATAGAAAAATAGTCTTTTCAAAACAAAAAGAGATAATAAATAGGAAATATACAGAATATCAATTAGGATATAAAATAAAATAATTTTCTTTACAAGTTAAAACATTTCCTTAATTCTGAAAAATTGTCTTCGTTCACTGGAATTCGGCGAATTTCATTAATTGAATCAATATACTGTAGAATGAAAATATAAGAAATGGTACATTGTTGAACATCATCCTATTTTCAATTTGACATAAATTCAATATAAAAGCGTTTCATATCAAATATTAAATGAAGAATACAATTTGAAGGGTAAATATGGAGGTGAAATGCATAAATCCTAAATGAAACCGATAAACTAGTGATACATATCAGTGTATCGACACAAATTGATAAGTATATTATTGGTGGGTGTGATAAAAACACTATTTACGTAATTCTGTAAGCCAAGGTAACTTGATACAATCAGATAATAATAATTTTGTCTATTAATTAACAATAAATTGACAAAAACATTACGTCAGTAACTTCTTTAACTGTTAAACTAACTGTCTAAGTACAGAAAATAACCTATAAGCTCTTTAATAACAACTGTTTTATTTGAGTTCGCATGATATGAAGTAATCGAAGTTCACACGTAAAGAATAGTACATAACCTTTATCATAAAAGCTTTCAATACAAGTACTGACAACAAGGTGAAAATTATACTACTGCTTAGCATCAAAAATACGTAAAAGACGATATTTAAAAGAAGTAAGCCAGGATAAAACAAAGCTCTGCTTAGCTTTCATTCAAAGAGATGAACTGTCTATATTTAAGACAGTAACAATAAAGCTTAAACTAGTAACTGACATACATTGAAAATCATAAATCAGAAGACATTTTTCTGACATAGAATTTTCTAAATTCTACAGCGTTTTCAAACGCACAGAGCTACACTTATGGACGGTGTAATCTAGTCATTATAGCAACCACCTAGTCAAATTACACGAGCTATTTTACAAGCTAATATAAAATATAAGTGTAAATCTCAATCTAAAAACTTCTCCACTTTATCCATACCAGAAACATATCAACCGTTCTCGTTGTGGGACGTATGAATGAGACAATATTTCAATCGACCCAATACACAATACAGTAAAAAAGCTCATACAAATAGACGTGTAAATTCGAATAGGCAGTATTAGTTATTGAGTTTATGGAGCCTAAACGACGGAGGCTACATAATGATGTGTGCTATACACTAGCATAACCCATTAAACATCAAGTGATATGGAGAATAATTTAAGGCAGACAAAGATCAACAAAATGATAGTATGAAATAGAATTACTAAATATGAGTTTCCACAAAGTACAGGAAAATACATGGGTTAGAGAATATATTTATGGCTAATAACAATTCACTAAACAGTTAGCAATCACACAAAAGGATACTGTGAAACGGAAAAAAATCATTGAAAATAAAACTTACGCTTTTAAGAATTCTTTGTTCACAGTTACTCAGTGGTTTTTGTTTGTTTATACTATTAGTTACAGAGCATGACGGAGATTCAGTGGAATAGGTTGATTTTAAAATCTACAGTTTCAAAACGAAATATATTAAGGAAAATCTGATGAAAAAAAGGAAATACGATGGAATAATTGTTCAGAGTATTTCATTGTTTCGGGATAGTAGAGTAATTGTGGACAAGCGATTAATTGCTAAAATTACTGAATACACAAGGAATCCAGACACTAGAGAAAATGCACTTCCGTCTATAAAAAATTAGCAAGTGAATTATTACAGACTTTCGTTTGTACACTCTTAAGGCAGTTTTACACTCACTGTCTGACAAAAACGCTATTTGTATAATTACTACGAAGGATTCAAATTAATCCATTGTTGATAATCTTGACTGAATCTTGGTCAGTTTTTATTGACATAAATGCATTGTAGCAAACTCTTTTCAACTATATGAACATAAAAACTACCTTTCTATGGGCAGATAAAAATGTAATTGTATTTCTAGTAATTGCTTTTTGTAGCTCAGATATTTGATCAGTTATGTATATTCCAATGTACGCGTGAATGTGTGCATATCCAGTGTCTCCTTTCATATATTCTCTTATTGGTTGTAGATATACTCAATAAGTAATTAACATATACACTCATATTTAAATTTGCATATATTCTATTCTGGTCTGAATTATAAACACTTGGTCTGCTAATGTTTCTGTAAAAATATAAATTCGAACCAATTTCATATTTGGCTTTTCAATATCTCAAGTGGAAATAAAGTTAACTATAAATCGAGATTTAGCCTAAGAATGCATAGAAAGTTAACCGAGTGTGATTTAAGGTCAGATTTAGACACTAATTAACAAGTGTTCAGTCGTTGTAAGAGTATCATGTGCGGACTGCCTCCGTCTAGACACCTTTCACAAATATTTATAGAATAGGTGAATTTCTGACTAGCGGTGAAATTCAGGACGTGCGTTCAGTCCTATTTGGAGCTCGTTAGCTGGATTTACGTACATGAAAATGTTGATGTACACGCCAGGACTCAAACCTATTACCTTTAGCATCAAACGTCCAAAGTGTTATCATCCATTGAGTTACTTATTCCACAGGATATCAATATCATTATTTGAACACCAACACTGGTAGAATGCAGGTATATCCAGCTGACGAGTTTCAAGCAGAACAAAGTGCGCGTGTTGAATTTCGCTACCGGCCACAAGTCCATCTATACCACAAACGCTAATCGCCTATGAAGCATACAGGACAATCAACAGAATATTAACACATAAAAAATTAACCAAATTATCAAGAAACTTATACTGGTGACTTCATGGGGTTATATTGTACCAAAGAAATAAAAATTAGGAGACTCACGCTACTATTACTGGAGGAAACTACTTCATGCAGTGGATTACGCTGTCGTTCTCTCATACGAACTATCGGCAGGGAACTGGGAGTATTTACAGGATTACAAGAATACGATTTTGATCTATTAAGTGTGTATGAAGAAAATCTCGGATTTCCAAGTGAACTACTAGTATCTGTCAACGATATACTCGATATAATAGGGGATGAAACAGTAATGGCAGATGTCAAAGCAGTGGGAGAATGAGTTGAAACGAATTTTCGTGGACGCTTGGCATCAGACTTCAGAAAACATAGTAAACAATGAATTAAAAAACGGATTTCTACAGTATATGAGGAACAAAAAATACGAAAAGTTATAAACGAATAACATTTGGCAACGAAAATGACAGTCGATCAACACTTCACTATCCATTTAGCAAAGGTGGTATGGTTTAAACTGTGACACAGAGACAAATCCTAACATGTCTTTGAGATGTGATTGAAAGTAACCCAATAAATATTCGTCCAATACCCAATTTACCAAGTATAGTTCTATGCAATATAATGTGGACTACCTGGCACCTCAACCTAAAGAGAATAAGGTAGGGTTTGAACCTACTTCCTACTATTTAAGAGCCCATTGTTGTGATCCACAAGCTTTGCTTTTAATTGGATTATTTGATAGTACTTGATCTCACTGATTTAATCTACACCCAAGTTTAAAATTAAAACGATGGCAGTAACAATATGAAAACTGGATGAAAAACAAAACAATCAAAGTGTTTTTAAGCAGATTCTATATAGGTATTAATTGATTCCCCTGACTACACACTATTTGATCAACTTAATTCGTTTTAAATTGTTAACCTTTATGAGGTTGCCTAACTTATTTTAGGTAGGTCCCTCTTTCACAAACTATTTTACAAATAGTCGAGAGAAAAAAAGATCTTTACACTGGGAAAATTGTCAATTTCTCTTAGACTTTAACTTATTTGATGTATCGTGGTTAATACACTATTGAACATCTATGTTTATTTTCTGTTACTGATAGAAAAATGTTTTGTCTAGAAACAGACAAAAGTTCAAAGTTAAGATTGTTAACGATTTTATTAACTAATTTATTAAACAGTTTTTCATATATTCGACGTTGTACAATGTAATACATTAAAAAGAGACAGCTGAAAGTAATAATGATTTCGGCATATACCGGTAAAATGCAAGAAAGATAATAAAGTCTAGTTTGTAATAAAATGATACGTATAGAATTACAACATACACTGATTGGTAAAATTAACTGAAGATTACTGCTTAGTAGATATAAATAGATTTTTACATCACTTACCTGTAGTTCATTCCCAGAAATCGGCTTCAGAATACGACCCATTAGTGGTTTAACCCAAGTCCCCTTCGGCGAAAATTTCCTCTTTATTCCTTGAACGAACTAGATAGGTAGAATAACAATAATGATAAAAATGATATGTTTGTAGTAAGAAATCAGAATGTGTAATTGTGATTCAACTTCGACAATAATCATAGAAGTGTTAATAAAACGAGGACAAGAGATTGATGAAATTTGAACCGTATTTAGGCTATTAGTATACAAATAATAAATGGTAACTTCTTGTGAACGTCATTGCAGGATTTCCTAATGAAATGATAGACTGGTCAGAATACAAATACTGTTGATGTGCTACATTCACAACGTCCATCCTTTTCTATATATTCCATGATCATTTGAAAAAAAAGCTCACTATTAACGTGTCCATAGCTTAGAACTGTGGTGTATCACACAGTGAGTACTGTGCTTATCCATTTCCCAAACGTGCGTTGATAGAATGATTAACAATAGATCTTGAAATTTCACAAAAAACCCATTGGCTATGTTCGTCAGTGATAGAACTATCGGTAAAACAGTTTTGAGATTTAGCACAATCTTTGAGAACTTAGAACGACTGAGATTCATAATCTGCAATTTGAAAATATCCGACTATGACTAAAAGAAGTGTGATGATAATTGGGTCAGACATATATAGAAAAAAGACGCGGTATCAAATCACTGAATATCAATTTGGTCCATGAAATCAGAACACTTTTAATCAAAGTTAGTCATGAGTTTCTCTACAAACTGTCATAATGGAAATTCATTAGAATCTAAGATATCAGACATACAGCATATTTATAACACAATAATAAAAACGAGACATTAATTAATGAATGACGAGAATTAACCTGAACAACTGAGTCCCGTACACAATTAACAATAGATGGATCCTTATGAAGGGTTGGCGATGTTGCGTCTATGGTTACATCAACACTTTGACCTGAAAATAAAACATAGTATCATTAGTGTGACTTGACAAATAAATATTTATGGCTCAGTGGTCTATTGGTTAAGCGCTCGCGTGCGAGACTGATAAGTCCTGGCTTCGAATCTCGTGAGGCGAGGTCGTGGATGCGCACTGCTGCGGATTCCCACAATGGGACGAAACAGCCGTCCAGTGCTTCCAAGCGTTTCATGGTGGTCTAGCTTCAATTGACTCATGATCTCAACCATTGAAATAAATGTGTTTATATACTAAGATTTTGGAACCATACGTGCAGTGTGAAAGCCAATGATACCAACCATTGAATACGATTGTCTAGCAAGCGACAAATAAAAGGTTCACAGCCGCTTACATAAATCAACTCCAAAGACTATGACATCATGAATGGATAAAACCCCTAAGTCCAACAGCTACTTACCCTCCTCAAAACAAACTACCACGTTGGGAGTGGGAAGTGGCTGCCAGACATTATTTATTTATTTGAACATATAAATATTGGTAAAAGGGTGCACCAAATATATATGCGCCACACAAAACAATGAGAATGGGAAGAAAAAAAAGAAGGTAAGAAGCGTAAAAGAAAAAAAGAAGAACAATAACGACCAGATTAGTGTAAGGTAGTGTAATAATAATAATGGGGGAGACGGAAACGTATAACCAGAAGAAATCTTTCAGTTAAGGAAGATGCAACCTCTTTTTTATGAAGAAAGTAAAAGAAGGTTACAGCAGGATCGCCACTGGCTTCTATTCTAAGCCATATCTTGTAACTTCTCTAGCCACTGTGTTGCACTATCTCTAGGACCCCAGCCAGGGAGTCGTGAAGGACCAACACAAGCCAGTCCTTTGCAGAATTCTTTCATACCACAACACCATGTCATACACTGACCACCTCTCCACTATTTCCGACCAGTCTCAGCGTCGGCAAATAATGCACGAAGTGGAATTCTCTGGGAAGACATTCGTAGAACATGTCCAAGTCACCCAAGTCGGTGTTTCAAGATGGTAACACATATTGCATTATCGTCTCTGCCCGAACACACGATGCCGAACCTCTGCATTACTAACATGGTGTTGCCACTGGACGTCAGCAACCTTTCGGAGACAACGATGATCAAACACAGAGAGTCGTCTAACATCCTCAACTCCGAGAGGCCAGGTTTCACAAGCATAGAGCAAAACTGCTATCACCGACGCGTTGTAGATCCGACCGTTTACAGCCAGACTGACATTACGAAAGCGCCAAAGATGGCCCAGATTGGTACAAGCCGCTTTGGCTTTCACTATACTTGTATCGATCTCATCACTCACGCCACCACCAGCACTTATGCAGCTACCTAAATACATGAACTTCTCGACTAATTCTATCTGCTCACCATCCAGGGTGAGTACAGGATTAGGATCCTGCCAGACATATTCCAAACACCTTGACAGAAAATGATTCATAAACTCATGAAAAATCTTTACAACGGTCAACAGACACAAACAGTTAATAGATATTAAAAAGAAATACCCATACAATAAAGCGTACTCAAAACTTCGAAGGATAAAATAATACGAAACAGTAGAAATATTAGATCTATTTACCATTCATATTTTGTTCGTCAGTATTAGAAACAATGGAGTGATTTTTTAAATCAGTTTTATTGCACAACCCACAGGTTGATTCAAGCAGTGGGTCGGTTATCTGGAATAAAATGAGAGAAATAAAATAGAATCATATGTTAAACACAAACAAATGCATACTACACTTTAATTCTCAATGTTCATTATCACCTGGGACTTTTAAAGACAGTTTCACGTTTCAATAGTAAATACATCAATTAAAAACTATGATACCTTCTAAAAAAAGGGGTGGACAAATTCACTAAAAACAGACAACCACAAAAACTGATAGTTCACCCAAAATGTTGAAGCATAATGTCTAAAGAAGAAACTCTGACAACCATAACTATATTTCATGATAAAACAATCCGTTGATAGTACATAAAACGATTCTACAAGTAATTTACTGTACAAGTTAAGAGTAGCTACCATAGTATTAACAACGGTTAATCATAACTATATACATAGGAAATTGACAGCAATTTTAACCATTCACAAAACATCTTACGTAAAATTGCTAAATAGATTCCAAGTGTTCTAGTGTTTAATATAAATAAATATGAAGAAATTATTTTAAAAAGAAACAACCTTGAAAAAACATGGAATTTCGGGTTAATTCTCACATTTTTATTAACGTTACCTACCAAACAAGGAACAAATGAATATAATGCATTATTATAATTATTAGCTCATATGTTAACAGCAAACACTAACCTGTCCATCTGAGTTAATTTCCGTAACTGAAGAAATCGAAGTTTTCAGATTTGAGAAGTCGCTTGCTGAATAATAATAATAATAATAATAATAATAATAATAATAATAATAATATCAGTATAGAAACAAAATTTTGTAATTACTATCTGAGAGACCCTAAATTTCAATTCCAAGAGAAATGTAATTAGTAGATGTGTGCATGTGTATGTAGACTGCATACCACTTACAGAAACTTCGCTCAGTTAAAAGAGAATATTACTAAGATCTGACCTGTAGTAAAATTGTTAAGTCTTTACGATTAGTTTTTTTGCAAATGACTTGAAACGATTTTTGGTAATTGGCTAAAAAGCTTGAATTTAAAATTCTATAACAATGAACACAAGTTATAGGTGTTCATATGCTGGTCCTGACTGAAACATACAACGACATGAAAGCTAAGACGTTGATTAGGGTATACAAACCACTTTTTCTAATCGCATGCCTCATTTGTGATTTATCGCCTACCGCGTACTGTTGAGACATGCGATTTCATCTGGCTTTCAAAATATGAAACGTCTAAACTCACTTCCCCTTCTGTGAGATTTTTCTGTTGGCATTCAATCGAAGTGAGGAGACATCAATCATTGACCCCCAAATGCCCTGGTACGGCCGAGAGTGGGGAGAATCCGCTCCCTCTCTCGAAATGCTCTCACATGGCCACGCGTATATAGCCTCTGCCATGGAAGTCCTACTCACTGCCTTCTTGTAGCGGGAGTGTTGTTTACGAAATTGAGAGGACGACAAGCGGATGTCCGGCGCTTTAACCGGGTTGGTGGACATGGAGGGCCCACCTAGGGGAGTTGGAAAACCCTGATTCCAAACCAATGGTGCACATGGGTTCCAGTATCCTGAAGGAAAAAATGGCGTATGAACCAATCGTTGGTCACTGGCTACCATGAGAATGCATCTCCTTACGTTGCCCCACTGCCTTGTGGATCAGACGTTCAGGTCGGAGGCTCCGGGTGTGGTCCCCTAAGAAAACCACCTGCTTCGGTTTGGGCACCCGGACAGTATCACAGCCCTCACACATATCAAATGAGATCTGTGTGGTGCATATGTATTTGGCGCCTCCTTGTAACAATATCTGTGTGTTAAAATAAATAATAATAATAATGAAGACTCCTGACCAGAACTATACAAAGAGCCGTAGACTTATTGGTTGTAGTCAAAAAAGAAGCAAAGATATTCTACTTATAAGTCAAATGTAATGGATATTTAAAAACTATAACATCAGTAATTAGATAAATGACTTACCATTCTGAACAGAAAAATACTGAGTACTGGGTGAATATGATTTATTGTCTTGAGACTCGGAAACTGACGCCTGCTTAAAAGTTCGGAATAAAAAAAGCTTGAAATTGTATCAGAAAATCCAAATGTACGACTCAATAAAAAATATAGCAATCTAAGCTCGTACTACATATTTCGACAGAAAAATATGCAGGCTAATGGTAAGTAGAGTGAACGGGAGTGTAGTTCAAATCATGTTAGAAAATATTGCTTATACAAATTGCAACTTTGCCAGTTATAAATTTTCATAGTTTCTATGAATAACCTATTTGAAAGCCTTATGGAAAGTTAAGCAACCTCTAAATAACACATGAAGTATCTTGCAAACACAGGTAACGAAAATAGTATTTAGGCTAACTATAATGACAGACATATACAGAGAATCCTATATAATTGATTTGATTTTTATAAGTCTTCTTTCAGAAAACCTAAATTTTCTTTTAAATTATGTCTCATTCTGAATAATGAAAGTTATTAGTGACTAGCACTAAAATTTGCGTTAACTTCCCTAAGCAAAGGATTCCTACTACCAGAAATTTATGCAACGTGACAAGCTAATTTAGATTCCAGTACAACAACAATTCGAGTAAGAATTGTTGTATGAGAGTTACAAACGGTACTCTACCCAAAGTCCTACCAAAGATATGAACGCACTGAATAATACACATATTGATCTGCAACTCGACAGTGATATTCAGGACGAAATCTTAAGGATTCGCACGGCCAGATAAATGAAGAAAACATTTTATGCCGATACACTGCAGTTTCACAAATCAAAACGCAAAAATTGTTAATAACACTGTTCATCTCATATAAAACGGAATGAATAGTTTTTGGAAGTGAAAACACCAAAAAGAAACTTCTCATTGAAATATTTAGTTTAAATCAGAGTTATGCTAATCTATTTCGAAAGTTTGTAAGTTCTGATATCTAACGCATTTCAGTCCCAACAAGTCATTCCAACTAAGGTCTGTCAGTTTGTTCCCGCAGTTGTAAAAGCTTTTCATAATCTCTTCGTCGATACTCTTCGAAACTTTGTTTACTCTGAACGATATCACTACTAATGAAGTTTGTTGTATTCTGAATTATATACGTCAATCAGTCGTTGAGTTAGAATCCTTGGATGGATTATATACTTATCAAATATTTTTTGACAGCACAGTAAAGTAGCACGATTTGTACAGACACATCAAAAAATAATCAGGACAAAACGTAAAAGTATAACAACCTATATATTGTATAATAAAATAAATAAGATAGAAATAAACATAAAATTTTGAACAGCAACGATATTTTATGAAATTGGGACTTACCTGAGAATGTGCTACTGCGGAAGTGATTATATTTGTATTATTGTTTGGAGATAACTTAGCAGAAGGCGTTAATATTTCACTAGTCATAAAATTATTGGAGAGATTTGTAAGTTCAATAGAGTAATCTGTAATAACATGAAAAATTCAACTAGCAGATTTATTTTACTCTACGTTATTGTGGTAAAATACTCTTATCGTGACTGGTGATCGACAAACATTCAGAGTGACCATTCAAATAAATGCTGAAAGTAACGTGTAAATCTCAGAACAGAGCCAGTAGTGTTAAAATTGTTGAATTTACGTATTCACACCTTAATCAATCACTAGAAAAAAGTCATTATTCAGAATCAAGTTGATAATTCTCAATCCCGAGTATACTTTCTAGTTTATAAACTGATGTTTTGTTTTTACTATTAACAACTAACTTTAAGATGTGATCGGGATATCTTTAATTCCTATTGGTCCAGAACCCATACTCTTCTATTCCCTCATTAAGTCGGACTCCAGAACACGACGAGCAAGTAAACCTTCTATCTTTGCTCAATCATCCAATAATCCATTCTTCCAGTTACCATAACTTAAACAGTCATAAAATTATATACATTAATTCACAGATTACACCACACCCCATATAAGAAATCATAGTTTATAGACGACTATATCATAAATGTTTTTAAAAAAACGGATGAAAAGTTGGACAATAAGTTGGGTACAGAAGACGTATAACAATAGTTAACGAGTCCGAGCGAAAGCTACAATGCAGGGAATATAAAAACCCAACAATCTAATTACCTAGTCATTATTCAATAAAGAAACAAATAAGAGTTCTCCGTAAAAATGTTGCAAAAGTTAAAAATCTCCCAATATTCGCTCCATTGCAATAATTAGCTGACCAAAAGCTTAAATAAGATCCGAGAACGAAAAGTATGATATAGTATCACATTTCAAGATTTAGAGGTAAACAAAGATGGAATGAATCTATCACATCGTATATGATACTGAGCTAAAATATTCAAGATCTCAAACCACAGGTTACAATTATCGTGAGGCACGCAACTAGAAAGTTTATACTTCCCGTAAACAGTTTAAGTTAATAGTCAATTACAATATGGACTAATGATGTCCACCCTGTTAACCTGTTGTTTATTTTCAAAAAAGATTTAAGATATAACAAGGACACGTACGAATAAGATGTCTCTAAACGTAATAAAAATAAAGGGTGACTCATAAAGAGAGATTTGCAACGGAAAAAATACAGAAGTTTAGATCTACACTACACAATTCATATTAACTATTTTTAACATATATTCAATCTAAAAGGGAAACTAAGATATTTCTCATTTTAAATGAGCGTTCATTAACTTTGTATTTATATCTGACTATAATTTACTTATCTCTAAAGTTTGTATTTTGCATATAATTCGATTGACCCTATTTGGACAACAGTGATATTAAAAGCTATAGATTCAACATGATGGGAAGATTGTATTTCAGGCAAGCGTATTAGCAGACAAACAGAATAATCGCGTAAATTCAGTGTTGGAATTGACAATACCAGCTAATTCGTTATATGATTTTGTGCCTCAGTCACTTTTCAAATGGACGAAGGGTAAAATCAACGAACGAAGATAGACAACTACACATGACAAATGTACATAGATGAGAGGTTACAAGAAGCTGTATACAACATAACCAATAAATATGACTATAATGACCTGAACAAGGGTCACATAAGTGTTCTGATTTGTATCAGTTAACACAAGCCCTTGCTATCAAACCTATTATGTCAACTTAGGATTAATTGTAAATCATTATTTCCCTATGATCAAACAGCTTTAATGGTCAAATATAATGGGCGAACCTATAATAGATTGTCTGATCAACAGCGAACAGTTTGGGGAGAAGAATATTGAGTGCCAAAAATGTCATTTTTGATGTAACTTTTTCTCTGTCCTTTAACTGGATCATTGTCCAAATATTTTACATATAAGCGTAACAAAATGAAAATCAGATGATAGATTTCGTGAATAACAAAAAAAAGGGAAATAACGATCGTGCCTAATTTGAATGGAAGTTACTGAAGTCACACATCTTCGCCTGGTAAAGCTATACTATAGGGACGGCTTTACGAGATTTAACAAGTAACCCTAAAACCAACAAATCGGATGCTAGCCAATAAGAGTATAAATTTTGTGAAAGAGTTAGGGTTTTTATCACGAACTGACGTCAGTTATGATGCAAGTCCTAAAATCAAGCTCTACATCCTAATTTTTAGCACAATACGTAAATCGTTCATCATTGGCATCGCCTGACTGGCTATAAGTGCTGGGACTTGAAGGTTGTTCGCAGGTATAATTCAACCTTATTTTTACTTATTATCCCTACCGTTCTAACATTAACACATCCTGAATCGCACTGTTCATCCCACAAGAAGAGCAATACCCATAAAATACAAAATCCAGTCGAAAACATTATATCTATCAACAAGTTATCCATAATGAGTTTTAAATTCGCGCTAATATTTAACATCGACAATCTTGATTTCAATTAGTCGCTTAAGCGCGTCCGTACAACATAGTTTTGCCCCTACATCTGCACTATTTGTCCACACAAATACTGAAATATAAAACACGTGACTTTTTCATAACTGCATGATGCAGTCAGTCGAAAGTACTGTTGAAAAACTACCTTTCCACAAATACATGTGGAAATTCAAGTACTCATCGTATTAGATATAAACAAATGTCAGCAATTTCTTACCGTCGTTGCTGTCGAAGAGATCCTTGAAAAGTGATGAGTCTTTTGAAAAGGGTGAGGTTGAATGCATCATAGAAGCTTCTGTGATTGGGATATTCTATTTGAATAAAAAATAAAATAAGAATTTCAATTCAGACATTTGAAAGCACAAAAAGTAAGGGGACTTGTTTCTAACTAGCTTTTCAACACGGTTGCACATTAATATGTCATAGAACAAATTACAAAATTATTAATCAGAAAACCTTATGAAGACAATGATGGATGACTAGAGCAAGAATAGGGGGTTGATACGATGCACAAAGGTTAGACGTAACAGTCAGCTCTTTATTGATTAAATAATGAGTGATCTACAAATTGATTTACCCCAATCATTTATAACATTTTATCACGATTATTTTTCATTTATACTCTGTGTATAAGCATGTTATTTTATTACATGGAAAACTATTCATTTGCCTAGTGGTTTTGTTTTTGATTTCCAATCATTCGGGGGTGTAACTCAATTAAACGGTCTCGTGAGTAGCCATTCCTTCAGTCGAATTATATTGTTGACTTCATCTATTGATTAGTATTCTAGTCATCGATTTTAACATTCAGCATTCCGACTGATCAAATAACAGAAATCTTCATACATAACAGTACTTATAATATCCAAGACTATTACTTAATGAATGAACCGAAGCATGTAGTTACAAAACCGACAAGTTGTATAATGACCAGCAAAAGTCACAAAATTGTCTACGAGGTTGAATATTAATAACAGTTACGTAGTCAGTCAGTCAGTCAGCTGCAATGCACATATATTCATCAGTCCAAGTTGCCATACCTCATTAACACAAAAAGATGAACACCGGATTTATAAAAGCAGTTAATTCAGAGGTGGTAATATATAAAAGAAAGATTGCGATGAGGATATAGTACAGGAAGAAAGAATTAGTTCATAGAAAGAAAGATATGAAGTGATTTTAATCTCATAGTTTAAGGGAAGACAGAGAGTGTATACACCGACGCCATTGTGATCGATTCTGAGCCATGTCACCAAGAGTCTCCAACCATTGGTTACGATAGTCACGCGGACCACAACCAGGTAGTCTGCACCTATCAACATGACTCAGACTAGAAGTTAGTGACTTCAAGCACTGATGACACGTTTTGGTTTGGCCGCCCCTAACTTTCTTCCAACCAGCCCGAACACCAGTTAGCATTGCACGTCGTGGTAATCGGTGTTCAGGTATATGTAACACGTGGCCCAACTATCTCAGTAGATGAAGATTCACAACCTCATCTACTGATCTACCGTCATTTCCTAATACCCTGCGTCTAACCTCACTATTACTTACCAGGGGATCCCAGCAGATGCCAGCAATATTTCTAAGGCATCTGTGGTCAAATACTAGTAGCTTACGAGTGTCTTCTACTCCTAATGGCCATGTTTCGCAGCCGTAAATTAAAACAGAACGGACTGCCGCGCAGTATACTCGTCCTTTTATTGATAGACGGATATCTCGTCTTCGCCATAGGTGAAGTAAGTTGGCAAAAGCCAAAAGAGCTTTTCGAATCCGTGCTGAGATTTCGTCAGACACCAACCCATTAGGGCTGATCAGACTTCCAAGATAGGTGAAATTGTCAACGCGTTCGACTACTTCACTCCCTATCCTTAGTTCAGGTGTTGACGCAGACCAGTCCTGAAGCAGCAGCTTGCAGTTACGTAAGAAATAAAAGATGAATATTAGTAATGATTATGTAAGGAACAAAACCCAAGAAGTTTAATTCAGAAGAGAAAAAAAGAAGTCGAAGAATATTACATTGGCAACTTAGGGTAGTTTGTATCGGATTAAGTCGTGTTGATTAGCAAGGTAATGAGGTTAGTACGATAGATTTCTCTTCAATACATATTATTAGTTTCTGCAGATGTAACCCAATGTTCTCGGTTGTTTACAGTACATTAAATGGGATACGATAAACAACTTGAAAGTGTATTTAAGTCGGCTTCATATCCGTTATGAATCAATTGATGAAAAATGTAGCCTTGATTGGTTTAATAATTTTCTTATATGCATATAAATATTACTGTATATTAGGGTAAAGCCTGATGAGGATCTAATCGAAAACAATATGTTGTTCCAATCTAAATCAACTTTAACAGCTCTTTATATCGTTAAGAAAGATGAAGTTGAGAAATAATAATTCAAAAAAATACCTCTTGAAGCCAGTCACTAGTGAGCACATGATGATCATTATCAGAAGGGTTTCTTGTGGAGATTGTAATAATTTAATAGTTGAGTTTAAAAAAATTGAAATTTATATTATACATTGTAATATGCAGCAAAAATAATCATATCGATTTAGTGCAAAAGTACTTAAAAAGTCTGTTTATAACATTTTTTTTATTTTGTCTATTCAAGTTATTTGCTAGTGAGTTATCTATGTAAATTGTTTTAATGATTAGCCTAAATTATCTCAAGTGTAACTGAGAAGAAACAAAATACGATTAATTTGGCCCATTTAGTAAAATTTGTATTTTCCTCTGTTTACATTCGTACAGGGAAACCAAGTGAATGGATAGTTTTCATAATGCTGCTAAAATAATCACCAATACACTGTTAGACACAATATGAGATAAAACTATAAACATCAAGATGGAAAATCACGTCTGAGTGTGAAAAAGACCTTGTATAAAAACCCACTTCTTTATTTTCAATAACTGTTGAGGAATTTGTGACCACATAATTTGTTGGTTTGTCAACAGCGAAAACACCAGGCAAGCTATCAACAATAAACGACGTTCTTAAAGGAGGGTATTGTTGGGGAGGATCTTCTGTCGGAGGTATATTAGAGCATGGTCCGAGAAAGTCACTGACAATAAAATCAAGAATTAGGGCAACAAAAAAAATTATAAAACAAAATGAACACAGCAAATGGTATTCTTAGTTGACTCGACTGAGAATTGGCCATAGCTGCTTAAGACGATAAATAAATCCAGTTGATTTAAAACATTCGTTTACGAGCATAGTAGAGACAACAATTCAATCAAAAAAACTCCCGTTCAGGTGATATAACCAGTAGCTAATACTGTTTCCGCAATACGAAATTGTTAGAGCTCGTTAGTGAGACGAACGATGTTGTAACAGGTTTTAGTATAAAGGCACACTGTACTGACAACTCATGAAAATAACCGCTTCCTAAAATATTTGCTCGTAGGATTTATTCGTGCAGTGCATACCAAGGATTCAACCATACAGGTTTCATTAGAGGGTATTTCTTATTGGTGCATCATCAAAGTTTGAGTGGCTTGTTTAAAGACGCGTTTTGTAACCAATTTAACTTTTTGAACGTAACAGGAAATTGTGCTGGTGGCACGTGATGAGTTGTGTGTATGACTCACAATTTGACTTTGACTGACACAAATGTAGCTCCCAACAATCGACTGTTACTAATGCTTAAGGATAAGGTCGATGGGAGTTATCCGTGACATACATTTTATGTTTGGGTTTAAATCATTCCAGAGCAAAAACAAGCTATAATTTCAGTAGGAATGAGTATGTCAAAAATAGTGCGTAACCCACGACTCATGACACATACTGCAAGTAAAACTCCATCGGGCGAAGCTGCATTTAGTGTTTTCAGTTGATATAGCTAGTCAATTGCTCTGTATACATATAACACGCCTTAACTATCTCAATACATAATTTCGGTGTATGACTCATTTATTTTAGGCAAACCACTAACGGAAATTAAAGTCAAATTTTCATTGACAGAAAACATTTATCATCAGAAACCAATTAAATATAGTCCATACCATTTATTTTTATTAACACCAACACGTTTCTTTTTGGATATGGCTTTTTTCCGCACTGGTAAACTAAGAGGAAGGTAAATATAACGATACATAGAAACTTACCGTGGAAGAATAGGGTTTTTATTCGTGTCGCCGATAGCTTCAGTCCTAAAATAATTAGTACACAGACATTCAATGGAGTCAAAATAAAATGAAAGTTTTACTCTCAGAAAATAGTATGATACATCTAAAAACTAAGTGTCCCGTGATTACTGTGAAAACGACTGACTATAAAACAGGAACATACCAGATACATCGTTTAACACTTTAAAGAAAGAAATTCTGATAGTTCAATAAGACAAAACCAAATCGAACTGTTCGATCTATAGAGCGCAAAACAAAATTAAATATTCACTGAAATCATGAGCCGATCAATGTTAGAAAACCATTAAAAACCTGGGAGTACTAGACGGCCGTTTCGTCCCAGTATAGGACACCTTAGCAGTACGCATCTACGCCCCCTAACGCAGCAATCGAACTCAAGACCTTCGATCTCGCGCTCAAACGCTTAACCTCTAGACTACTGAGCCGGCATCCATATTGAGCGACTGTCTCCCATTGTTGTTAGATCCCAGTGCATCCAAATTTTTAATGGTGATCTAACACTGGTTGGTTCACGACTTTAATGAAACTCAACAATCTCTGTAACCCAATACTTAAAATAGAATATTGCTGACTAATTAAAAGTCAACTCAAAAACGACCTACGGCTACCAGCTTGTTAGGCCTGAGGGAATTTACCAGAGAGACAAGAAATCACTAACGCCATATTATGATTGTAACGAGTTTACCAAGTACAGACTGATGTATTCGGCTTTGAGTCACTCAATTTTAGTGTGAGGGTTAGAGATATTACATGGTTGAAAGGACTGAAGGTGACGCAGGGTTCGTAACTTAGACCTATCGGTTGATCGTTTGGTGAGCTTTCGTTATCAGAAATGTATAAAGCGGAAGGTTAATGGAACAGGAACTCATGGAATTAAAGTAGTAAACAATCTGCTATCCATCTGCCTTGCTTCTGCATAACACGACTATATACATGATACGGTCACTCGTTTATAAATCCAAGTTAATAGTTCAGTAAAAAAACTCACACTCCAATCATCTGAGAGAAAACTGTTGCATTGGTATGAAATTCCTGGATAATTGAAAAAGATTCAATAAAAGCAAAGTGCTCCTTCTGAAAGATGAACATATTAATGAGTAATGAAAAAACCTTCTCTTCAAGGTACTGAACAGAATAGCTCAAAATTCTAATTAACCAAAAGCATGTTTCGATAACGCGTATACGGCGACTAAACCCGTGCTAGCAGAAAAGCAAATATTGTAGATATACCTGCACTTGGGTAAAGGGTCGCGTACATAGGACATGAATTTCGCGCTAATCCATAAGTTACCATCATAGATCCTAGGATACTATAAACGTCAAGTTAGAGCAAACTTTTTACTTGATTAGATGTAGACAGTACAGCGAAAGGCTCCTCTACGTCACAGCAAAGAAGGCTACCCATAGTTGATCGACTTGCCGTAAAAATAAATGGAGTGACTCGAAGTAACTGAATTGCAAGTCGTTTATCAGGAACAGACCTCGCCCAGTGTGTATTTAACTTTTTTTGAAGTGAACCAGTCATACTTCCAAAATCTGAAAAATAAGATTTAGTATTGAAAATTATGACAAAATTATCTGAAAGACGGAATTCGTCGATTAGTGATTTAAGAGGTAATCAGACTGGCGTGAAAAGCGTGGATTTTATTTGCTTATGTGTAATTCAAAAATCGCCAGTAAGAAACCATTGGAATACACAAAACAAATCATATGAGGAAACAAGAGGAAAGTTATTGAATAACAGCACGAACGAGGTCATTGAATGCGTAAATAAACCAAATAAAATTTACTTCTTCTAGGAAGCACCAATTGTATGTATTTAAGGTGCAATGACACAGATAGCTTAGTATACTGATGAACACTTTCAGGACGGTGGTTCAGTGGTATACATGTTTGACTTTTAGTCACTAAGCCACAGGTCCGAACTTTGCAACCTGGTAGTTTTACTAGCCCTGACACTGATTGTATGGATCAAGGGGGGGAGGCACAGACCTTTAACACCCAATGGGTTAGGGTTAATAATATCCCACAAGGCCAGAACAGTTATTCAGATAAAATGTAACAAAACCCTAACTAATGACAGAGAAGTAGTTGCATTCTTAGACCACTTCACTTATCTGAGAAGTCCTGTCACCCATGTATGATCGGTATTTGATGGGATCACGGTAAAATTCAAAGACTTAAGTTGACTCCCGCCAACTTGAGGAGTAGGCATTATTACCGTCAGCCAACCAAAGGCCGAGTTTGCTAAACAGCAGTACCCGCCGTTCCACTTTTTTGTTTTGAAACATATCCTCTAAAAATAGATACTCATGTTACTAGTATTTGATCATAATTACCTCTGAAGTGCTGTCCATGTTTGTTGGGACCACGTAATTAGGAATTTAGAGGGTACTAGGCAGGGATAGCTAATTGGTGGATGAGATTGGCTTCGTTGAGGTAGCATTCGTATGTTAAACCACTGCCTACCTCAACGAAGAACGTTTGCTGATGTAGGAGTCAGCTGAAACAAGATTGGAGGCAACTTAAACAAGACGTGGCACTAGATCATAAAACCACTGATCGTTGGACGGAGTTAAGTTTTTGCGTACAGATAGTTTGAACTCCGCGCGATTATCGAAACCAAAGATCGGAAACGTTAAGTGACATGACTTAGAATAGGTTGTGTCAGCGCTCTAACTTTATTATGAATTACAATGAATGAACCACGAAATATAAATATTTATTATTGTATACCAGACTTAGGTTAACCCTGTTGGGCAACGGTTGTGTTAAAAGCTAAATACAAATTTAATAAGAATTTGTTTTATTTACACAGACAGACGGTAAGTGCAACATGGAGAAAGGATTCTCAGCCTATTCGATTTGATCGAGCATGACTCATCATTTATAGTTAGAAAAAACTGAAGACATGTGACAAACAGAGTATGTGATAAGAAAAACACGAACAGATACGCTCATATAAAGGCAGTCAAGGTTACAACTAAACAACTGACAAGGTATATGAGTATATAATGTCCAAAAGCTGAAACAATCTACGTGGACTTGAAATAGTACTAAATACTACAAACCCACTGATGCGTACATGCGTTCACTCTCTTTCCCTAGGCCCTGCGTTTCAACAAAGTCTTGCAGTTTTTAGTGTTTAAATCCCTTTTCTCGAATCATATTGTCTTTGTCTAACCTTTTATGTTACTACTGATAGTGTTACAACCTCTACTAATCTAGGATTTTACTTGGCAATTTTATCTCGCTGTGGCATGATTACTTCAGCCGATGCACATGTCTCAGGATCTAGGTTACATATGACTGATCTCCTGGAACCGATCCCTTACCTGGAAACTCAATCACCAACTTAGAATACACAGATGAATTAGCTTTGTTTAGTAAAAAGCTTGAGAAAGTGCAGTTTTCGAATGTTTTGAGTAACCATTTAAGTGTTTGAGATGCGTTTTTATCCTTCAAAATACAAAATATTGCATCAGAACTGATATATACCAGTGTTTAGTTCGGCCAACAGGAATGAACTAATTGAACAAACAGGTGTCCTGGCTGCAATACCATTAACACTGATTATTAAACATTAGCAGTTTTTTGAATCCGCATCAAGATTTCTTCTGGCATAAACCCACAAGCAGTGATGACACTCAAGATAAGTGAAGTAGTCAATGAGCACTTCAAGCTCATAGGCGGTTGTCAAGCTATGCATTGGTGCAAGCCAGTTTTTAAGTACATGCTCAACATGCTTCTTTTAGATTCATACGGCTGCAGACTAGTCGGCCTCTGGAGCCATGATAAAGTCTCAAAAACTCTTTCAGCCTCGACCGCATAGCTTCAATATTTTTTATGTGCACTCTGGTTGTTGAGTGCACAAAGTGCTACTTTTGGATATAGACACGATGCACATAACCAGGCCTGTGCAGGAGTCTGTACGCTATACAAACATCCGTACATATTGCAGTACCTGACTGCAGCTGGTGTTACTGGTGCTTTCATTATCCAGTTCGCGATAATTTCCCTAATTTACCTTAGTTAGGAATTATATGTGGGGTTTTCATCACGAAATGACATCAGCTATAATGCCAGAAATTTATTTAGCCAAATGGATGAAAGGCTTTCGCGTGAAGACCCGAGATTTATTATCTTATACCTGATTGATTCGTTCACAAATTGTAGTCTCGCCATTTTATTTATCATGTTTTGTATAAAATCCCCTGTGAACCGAACGTACGTTAGCACTAAGCGACGTAACCTTGAAATCTCTAAAACGCCTCTGATTGGCTCGTCCATAAATTAGAGTCTCGCCGGTGTGGAATTAAAATCTGGTCACATTTACGATCAATAATTTTGAAGACTTCATGCCAAAAAAATAAATGCGTTGTTTAAGATGCCGAAGATAAGTATGTAGAATAGACTACAAAACATTACAAGTGCCCGGACAAATATTTTACACGCTTTCTCTAGGGGCAATTACCCTACACCTAACTAGAACATACTTCCTGTTAGAAAATTCCCTCTTTTGTGCAGCTTTAACGAACTAATGTCTCACAAAATAGGCTTTTTTGCTTGGTGGATGAGACAAGGCTGTTTCCAGGATCCCCCAATGCTTTAGATCAAATTTCCATGTTAAACAAATTTTGGTCAACAATTTCGTAGGGATAAAAAGAACATGGGGTGAAGCACGTTGCAGCTGGAAATAAATGCAAGAAAATACTTACATTTATCGCGAACCTGGAACTAAACATGAAACAGTTAGCCTCAAAATGGCAGTGATTTTTGTACTTGTTGTGATTATACTTGCTTTGAGTACTTATTGCACCAAAAAGCATTCTTGGTCTACTTTAACTTAAAGTACTTTGGTTAAAGTTTGAAACTTTTTGATAAATTTTGTCCTGAGTACCTTTTTTTTACTCCTGACTAACACTTTTGTTCAGATTGTGATCATTTTGTGTTTTTTAAACCTTTTAAATCGAATTACAATGGTTGGTAAGACTCACAAATGTTGGCAACCAAATTGTTTGTTCTCCGTGGAGGAGGGAATGCAATGTGACGATTGTAAAAAGTGGTACCACAAAATGTGTACACGCCTAAGTCCGACGGCTTACAAAAGATGCTCGAAGCCTAACTCGCATTGGCTTTGTATGTTCTGCTGTACGGATAAAAAGGTATTAATTCGGGAGGCTTTGGGCCTATTGGCTTTGGCCTGCAAGAAAAACGATGGCGGAAGCAATGATAACAAGAGCACTGACGGAGAAGAATGTGTCAGTGTAGTAAGTGCTGCTACCGGACCCGTTAAACACCTAACTGTGATTGACGGGAACGTGAAATCTCCGTTGACATTAACGAGGAATGAAGTGCCGCTTGATATTGACATCGGCAGTCATACACCTCTAGCCGAAATAGAAGATCCGGATAAAACTGTCACCGTTCCACGTAGTCCAGGTGTGGCTGTCCTGACTGGTGACAAATGGACTTCAGTAAGGAGAAAAAGACTGGGCAAAACGCAGCTGGTCAGCAAGGCATTGGAAGGGATGTTATCAGAAGAAAAATCCTCACTGAGTGACAAGACAGATCTCTCTGAGAGATCAGTCATTTTTCATAAGATAAGAGAATCTTCAGATGAAGAACCAAAGGCGAGATTTGAACACGATCTCAATCATATTAAGACATCATTAAGTAAACTACTCCCAGATACAGTTTCGGGAGTCAGTATTTGTAAGCTTTATAGAATAGGAAAAAAGGTGGATTCCAAAAGTCCTCCGAAAAACCGCCTCCTGAAGGTTGCATTCAACACGGTGGAAGAAAGGAACCTGATTCTAAGTAATTCACGTAAACTGATAGGATCCGGAATATATGTCCGTGAGGATCTCAGCCTAGCTGATCGTATTAAGAGACGAGCTGCAGAAGCGGAAATAAATGAACGTTGCCAAAACGGGGAACGAAACCTTGTTCTTAAGGGTTTTCAAGTTGTAAAAGTTCGGAGCAAAACGATCCCCAAGCCACTCTGGGTGGCAAGGGAAAGCTCTCCACAGACTTAAAGGTATGCTACACAAATGCTCGCAGCCTACTAAATAAAATGGCGGAGCTCAAGTCAGTGGTGGATAAAGAGAAACCGGACGTTATTGCTGTCTCGGAAACTTGGTTAACGTCAGAAGTATTAGATAGTGAAATCCAGTTGACTGGTTTCATAACCAGTAGGGCTGATAGATTAAACCGTAGGGGAGGCGGGGTTATTCTGTACACGAAAAGTACCCTAACCATAAGATTAGCTGAGACAGTAGCACATGTTTCAGGGAAATGTGAACTGGTGAGATGTAAGTTGAAATGCCGACGGCAAGATATTGAATTAGTTGTATTATATCGCAGTCCAGAATGTGTAGCAGATGATTTTATCCTAGGTAGACTTAAGTCCTGGTGTAACAACGGTAAAAGTCTTGTAGTAGGCGACTTTAATGCACCACATATAAACTGGGTTAACTTAGAAGTAGGGTCATCCATATAGTCGTTCGACTGCAAACTGTTAGA